GAGGAGGTCACTGCAAGAGAGAGAGGCGAGGAGGTCACTGCAAGAGAGAGAGGCGAGGAGGTCACTGCAAGAGAGAGAGGCGAGGAGGTCACTGCAAGAGAGAGAGGAGAGGAGGTCACTGCAAGAGAGAGAGGAGAGGAGGTCACTGCAAGAGAGAGAGGCGAGGAGGTCACTGAAAGAGAGAGAGGCGAGAGGTCACTGCAAGAGAGAGGGGAGGAGGTCACTGCAAGAGAGAGAGGCGAGAGGTCACTGCAAGAGAGAGAGGCGAGGAGGTCACTGCAAGAGGGAAGCTGGCCAATCAAGCAGCCAGGCAGCAAGACATTACCCACCGCCCCCCCAGCTTCCTGATTGGCCAGAAAGCTGGCTCCATGCTTCCTCATCACCTGGTGACGAGGGAGCATGGAGATGGCTTCCCAGGTAATCAGGAAACTGGGTGGCGAGTTATTACACGGCTTCCTTAATGGGACTTCCGGTATCGGTATTGGCGAGTACCGGAAAAAAATTAATTGGTCTTCATACCCAAAAACCGGTATCGGTGAATCCCTACTAATCAGAATACTGAACAGATACGGATATAAAAAGAATCGACCCCTTCAATGGCTGGCTGTGCTTCACGACATCTGGCAAAGCCCCATTTTGCTACCCCCTCCCGCAAATGGTAAAGACCTCTAATGGTCCCTGCAATGGCCTGACCCCTCCCACCTTCCTACTGGCCAATCACTATTATGAGCAGCTTCACCAACCCAACAATGGGAGCTGTGGAAGGGCCAGAGCCAGGGGCAATGTGAGCTACCCGACACTCCCTCATCGGAGCTCCGCACTTTCAAGGGTCCGGGGGTCTATGCCACATATCGGGGCATGAAGACACTGAGGGCCTGACAGTACAATCTCCTTCAGATCTACCAGCAACTGTGAAGTTAAAGCTGCGGCCTGATCGAATAGTTTAGTGGGTCCTCATAGGTCTGTGAAGGTTCCTTCCTCCGGGTCATGGTAGATCCGTAAACAAAAAAATCAAGGCAGCTGGACTTTCTGTATTTTTCTTGAAGACGTTTTGCTGGTCATCCGACTAGAAGGATTCTGAATTGAGAAAGCTGGTCACATGACCAGCAAAACGTCCTCAAGGAAAAACACAGGAAGTCCAGTTGCCTTGATTTGTTTAGTTTTTTTACAGATGTAGGTCCTCATAGATTTGGCATAGCTGAAAGGAGGTTGTAGAAGGATTGTACGGTAGTACCAGTGGCGTCACAAGGGGGGGGTGACACCCATTGGAGGGGTGACACCAAAAAGACTGTCATTTTAGTGTCACTCCCCTCTAAAAAGTCAGGCACTCGGTCGCAGACCGGGAGCCCGACAAGTGTCAGGAGAGAGGAAAGGACCCGGCGGCATACCTCATCCCGCCGGGTGAATGTCCCCCCTCCTCCTCCTCCTCTCTCTCTCTCTGCCGGCATCCTTCACCAAGATGGCCGCCGGCAGGCGTCAATTAGATGGGTGCGCGATGACATCACGGTGGGGGTGTCACCCGATCTCCGCTCCGGGTGACACCCGGCCTCAGGACGCCCTGGGCAGGACTAGTATGTGTATGGCGACCTGAAGGCAGACGGAAGGAACGAGCACGTACAGTGTTAAAGATCTGTAGTCCATCGTGTCCACCGGAGACGTAGATCCGGCCCTCGAATATGGTCACGCCCGCCGCGCTGCGATTGGAACTCATAGGAGTCACCACCGTCCACCTGATACAAAGACAATGAGAGTAAAGACAACTATATACAGATCATAATCAATGATACCCGACTGGACGTCACGTAGCCTCCTGCCAGAATTCTTCTGAGCCAAGAACTCCCTGCACTCCCGGCCTGTGCTGCCCTGTTATCAGTCACACCGTTTCCAGCTGTCCCCGAGGACCACAGAACACCTCCACCCAAAAAGAAAGGAGGAGAAGGTAGTATGCCCTGGGGTGACAATGCAGCCTCGCCATAGATATAGTGAGTGAGCGTGGTCACCCAGGACAGGAAGTGTGTTACTGGTAGGATCACCAGGGCAAAGAAAAGCATAGACAGAAGAAAACGTATGCAGCCGTCACATCTAAGGGTTTGTAAGCCGCAAAATACTAAGTTATCGTTCTTGGGTTAAAGCCGAACTCCGCCCTCACCTTTTCTTTCCAGACTTTCAGCAAGTCCTTTGTTGAAACTACTACTCCCAATTCCCCGCAAGCCCGCATCTCCACAACGTAACCTTTTGAAGCTGCTGCAACCCTCTAGAGTCTGTCTCCACTTCCTCAGCTTCCGACCAATCAGGAAGCCATGCGCCCAGCTTTCCGATTGGTCGGGAAGCCAGCTTCATGCTCCCTCATGATGAGGGAGCATGGAGCCGGCTTCCTGAATGGGACTTCCGGTATCGGTATTCGGCATCGGTGAGTACCGGGAAAAAAAATATCGGTACTCGATACCAAAGTACTGGTATCGGTGATCCCTAGTCCAAAGGGATGCTGGGATTTGCACATTCATATAACCCGTTACGTTTACAGTAGGGTTGCGCCGATACATTTTTTTTTTGGTATAGAGTACCTATATTTTTTTCCCCCGGTACTCACCGATACCGGAACTCTGGGGTTAGGGCTTTTCCCCATAGTTCTCCTTAGGGTAACGGGAAGACACAAACTAGCGTCCTCCCGTCACCCAAAGCTCAGTATATAGGGAGCTACAGCTTGCGGTATACTGAGACGCCGGAGCGGATCCCGACAATTATGTCTGGATCCGCCCAGCTGCGTGAGTGACAGCTGGCTCTGCCTATGTAGAGGCAGAGGCAGCTGTACCTGCCCCCTCCACGTCCATTCCGCCAGTCAGCGCTGAAGGATCGGAGCGGGGAGGGGGGAATCCAGTCATGGCAGAGAGCCGTGACAGGATCGAGAGGTGAGCGAACGCCGGTATGTGTTCGCTCACCTCCCGATCTATTGAGCCGACCTGTGACAGTCTCATTGTCACAGGTCGGCTAGAACTATGAGGTGAGTGAAAAGCACCCCCCCTCCCCTCATAGTTCTCCTTTAAGGAAGCCAGACGGCGTGTAATGTTCGGGAACGTCACCAGCACACCAATTCAAATGTGAAAAGAGATCCATTTAATAAAAGGCGGCGTGCAATGATACGGCGCCTGGTTCCCCGATTGGCAGGGCAGCCGGCTCCATGCTCCCTCGTCACGACCGCTCAGGAAGCCTGGTAGCGTGTAATGACTCGCTGCCCGGCTTCCCGATACCGGATGCTCAGGTATGGGAGCAATTGGACAAGTACTCACCCAGATACTCGGCACCGTTACAGATACCAGTTTCGGTGCATCCCTACCGACAACCAATGAGTACTCCCCAGAACTGGGAACTTGTCTGTTAATATTTCCTATTGTACAATGACAACGTTAGAACACACGCATTTCATTCAGGAGTCTTACTTGTCAGTCTCGGGATTATAGGTCTCCACAGAGTTCAGGGAGCAGTTCCCATCGTAGCCCCCGCACACATAAATATGTCCGTCCAGGACCACCGTCCCCATCGCACTGAAACAGGAAGTGACAAATATGATCATAAATACAAGTATGTGTGTGTGTGTTTGTTACTTGGAGGGTTTACAAAGCCACGCATTCTTGACATGAGAGGATCCAAAGACACTGTAAAGCAGGGTGGGCAACTCCAGCCCCGCAAGCTGTTGTGGAACTACAAGTCCCATGAGGCATTGAAAGCCTCTCACAGCCACGGCTCCCTGAGGCATAATGGGATCGGTAGTTAATGCATAGCTGCAGGGTCAGAGCTGCTCACCCCACAGGTAGGCATCCGGTAGGGGTCTGTGGCACCTTGTTGTGGCTCCGAGTTGTGGGGGAGGGGATTTGGTTATATACGGAGTTCAGACTTTGGCCTCATTATGTGTAGGGGAGCAGAAGTCATGGCCGTCAGTCTTGCAAGGCCTCATGGGACTTGTAGTTCCACCACAGCTGGAGGGCCAACGTTTGGCTACCGTGCTCCAAGGCCTCATGCACACAGGCGTCTGAGGCTGTAAAATGTAATAATTGGGCATATTTCCTGCATGGGGGGGAAGCTTCTAAGCTACTCTGTACAGAGACTGATGTGACTGTGGGGGAGGGGACATAAGAGTGTAAGCTCCTCTGATGCAGATACTGATGTGACTGGCTCAGTGTTCTCTGTACAGCACTGCGGTATATGTCAGAGCTATATAAACGTATAATAATAGTGTGTGACTGTGGGGGGGGAGATTAGAGTGTAAGCTCCTCAAACTCGCCTCCTTTTGCTTTTCATGCTCCCTACTTTGGTCCATGTATCCATTTCGGGGTTGTACACTTCCACAGTGCTGAGCCGCGATTGGCCGTCATAGCCTCCAATGGCGTACAGGAGCCCGTTCACAACAGCGACGCCTACTCTGCTGCGAGCGGTGGTCATCGGCTGACATTTCTCCCAGCGGTTGGCGATCGGGTCGAAGACTTCCACCACGTTCAGAGAGTCGCCTGCGTAGAAATGTGCTACTCGTCTTAAACATTTAACAGGGAATCACTTAAAAAGGGCGAAATCTGGAGAAAGAGTTCTAAAAGTGCAAGAGCACCCCTTCCGCGCCAGAGGACCGTTCCTTCTCACCCTCCCTCCCTATAATCCAGAACCCCTCATTTCCTGTCCTAGTGACCACAAATAAACAGGGACCCAAAAACTAATAAAAACCAGCTGGGTACCAACCCTTCTCTCATCTACCCAAATCTGCTTTAACCCCTCTGACCCCTGTACACCCCCTATGGACCAGTCGATGAAAAGTGTACATCTAATTCTATGTTTAGAATGTCACTAGAATTGTGATTCCAGAACAAAAGCACCGCAAAGAGATTTACAAATAGATAAAAGCCTTTTCTTTTTTTTTTAAATAGGAACCTCATCCCTTTGATCTGCAGATGAAGGAAACAGACTAGATACAAGAGAAACCATGTTACTTTGTATCTCTCTATCTCCCCCCCTGATCAATGTGTATAAACAATGTTACTTTGTATCTCTCTATCTCCCCCCGATCAATGTTTATAAACAATGTTACTTTGTATCTATCTCCCTCCCGATCAATGTTTATAAACAATGTTACTTTGTATCTTTCTCTCTGATCAATGTTTATATACAATGTTACTTTGTATCTCTCTATCTCCCCTCTGATCAATGTTTATATACAATGTTACTTTGTATCTCTCTATCTCCCCTCTGATCAATGTTTATATACAATGTTACTTTGTATCTCTCTATCTCCCCTCTGATCAATGTTTATATACAATGTTACTTTGTATCTCTCTATCTCCCCTCTGATCAATGTTTATATACAATGTTACTTTGTATCTCTCTATCTCCCCTCTGATCAATGTTTATATACAATGTTACTTTGTATCTCTCTATCTCCCCTCTGATCAATGTTTATATACAATGTTACTTTGTATCTCTCTATCTCCCCTCTGATCAATGTTTATATACAATGTTACTTTGTATCTCTCTATCTCCCCTCTGATCAATGTTTATATACAATGTTACTTTGTATCTCTCTATCTCCCCTCTGATCAATGTTTATATACAATGTTACTTTGTATCTCTCTATCTCCCCTCTGATCAATGTTTATATACAATGTTACTTTGTATCTCTATCACCCTCTGATCAATGTTTATACACACTGTCAGATGGTCTGTTTTTTGACAGCAGCACCTTCTACAGCTCCAGTATTTACACAGCAACACCTGGCTGTCATATTGACAGCTGGGAATTGAAGGGGGGAGCGAAGCAGTAGCAGGGAGGAAGGGCAGCACTTTGATGAAGCTTTTTTTGGTGTGATAAATTATAATAAATGGCCAAAAATGTATGCAACATCACACCTATATCAGCTTGTTGAACAAGCAAAAACAAAAATCCCAAACCACGACCATTAATAAGGATATGCATCCTTTGTGGCCATAACAGTCTCCAGGGAAGGCTTGCCAAGAGATTTGGAGGTTGTTTGTGGAAATATGCTCTCATGTGTGAGGTCAGGTACCGATGTTGACGATGTTGGATGAGAAGACATTGCTCAGTTCATCCCAAAGGCGTTCAGTAGGGATGAGGTCAGGGCTCTGAGGAGGACACTCAAGTTCCTCCACCACACTGGTCACACCATGTCTTTATGGAGCTGGCATTGTACACAGGGGACAGTCATGGTGGAACAGAAAAGGGTCTTCACCAAACTGTGACCACAAGGCTGGAAGATCAGAACTGTCTACAATGTCTTTATATTTTGTAGTATTACCAGAACCTTCACTGGAAACACCTGAACTCCATAATTGGGGGGGGGGGGGGGGGGGGGGGAGTGTTTTCGCCAGCGAGGCGGGAAGTCGAATGGAGGATCAGGAGAGGCAGATCCTGGTGGTGGGAGACTCCATCATCAGGCGAACCGACAGGGTAATCTTATAGTATGTGTGATGGTCAGAAATCTGCAAAGCTTTGACCATAAAATTTATGCAGCCAAGTAATAGATGTTTCCAGGCCCTCTAGTGGTATGGAGTGCACGCTGCGCCGTGAACTGTCAGTCGCTCCAGCCAGGAATAGTTCTGCAGCCGCCTTCCAGTCCTGGAATCTCACACACATCATTACTGAATCTCCCAGCAATTCATATTCAGGAATACAAGGTACCTGCCGAGTTCAGTCCTCCCACGGCGTAGATCAGACCAGCGATCGATGTGCAACACCGCGGACGCGTTTTAAACGCTAGTAGATGAGGTCTGCGCTCCGGCATCAGGTGATAGTCCTTCGCTTCATCCACCAGATCCCTAAAACACACCACAAACTCATCTCAGGACGATCATCCTGTATATAAGCCTTACCAGTCCTGGCAGATAACAGTCCCCTTTGCTCTATGTCCTGCTCATGTCACAGGATCTCAGAAGGCCAGTGGGGATTTAATAAAGTGACCCTGTCACAAACTTGATTGAGTATATAGACAATAACAATTCTCATTATATCACTGAAAATTGTTTTGCTAGATCTGTTCAATAGAGTTGGACGGAAAGTTAGTGCTGCCCTGTGTACTGTGCAGTGTTATCTCAATGATATCAGGTAGTGTGCCAGGACTACAGTAAATGAACAGGAATCACCAGCACTCAGGGGAAAATATTCTAACGATAAAGTCCATTTAATCAGACAAATCATCATACATGCTGCAATAATTATAACCGACGCAGGGACCCTTCATCAGGGTTACATTATTGCCCTGATGAAGGGTCCCTGCGAGGCCCCGAAACGTCGGTTATAATTATTGCAACATGTATGATGATTTGTCCGATTAACCCCTTCGTGACTGACGACGTACAGTGTACATCGCCAGCATCGGGGCTGTTTAAACAGACTCCCGGTGACTTTTGCCGCCGGGACTCTGTTTAAACTTGTAGAGCCGACTGTCGGCTTTACAACAGAAGCGATCCTGGCGACTTACCTGTCGCCAGATCGCTTCTGCGTCCCGAAGAAGGGGCCGCCCCCC